AAAAATGAACATCACAAATCCCTTTTTTATATATATATTTTCTGAATATATAAAATGATTTTTTAACCATTCTGCTTAGATTCAGAAAAATGACATTACTTTCAAATGATTTTATTGCTTTTTAAATTTTTAATGCCAGAAAAGTTACATTTTTTGAGTGCAGATGTGACTTGACGATGTGAAGTGTTTTGAAACTACCGTTAAGTACAATTTTTAGCGAGGATTTAATTTTGGCATTATTGGCGAGAGTGCTGAGATCGCTAAAATATTTCATCATATCGCTAAAAATTAATTGCTTTTTATTTGTAATAGCATCTTTAGTGAACATTTTAAAATCGCGCTAAATTTGCTTCTCGCTAAAAATACACACCATTTTTTAAGGATAAATCGCTAAATTTGCGTCTCGCTAAAATGTCCACCTATACGGTATTTTTGTTGTCACAAATTTTCATGTGACTATTCAAAATAAAAAAAAGACTGTTCTTGTTCAAATACGTGTAATTTATTTGGATAAAAGATATTAAAGGAAAAACTTTGAAAAAATGATTTATGTGTTCGATGTAATTATATGCAGTGCAAAAACATCATATTAATTGCTCAGTAGTGCTAATAGAAGTGCACTAAGTCATATTTGTTTTGATCTTTTTCATAAGCTATGTGTTTAGATCTAAAAATAAACCTTACAAAAAAATATCACAATTTAAAACAAAAGAACTAGCAGGTTACTTATATTTTTCTAATCTGTATTTTTTTTAAAGTCGGAACCTTTACGCTTCTAGATACCTATATTTTCATATGGACAGCGTGTTGTTTCTGGACTTGATGTTGAAGGGCTTCGAAATGCAGGATTTCCTCAACATATATACCCGTCTTATGTTTAACAAAATATTTCTAAATAAGGTCAAACTACCATAAAAATGTTTATTAATTGTATAATTTTAATCTTTTATAAACAGAACGTACACTGTAGTACATGTATTTAGAAAAAAGGGCCGTTTTACCATTTCTACATTTTTATAACTTGGGGGGGGGGGTTAATGTGGTCTTTCTAAAATTCCCGCTCTGACGACTTCAAATTAAAGTTAAAGCTCGATGAATTATGGAACAAAGTTAAAATTTAAAATGAATAATCTAGTTTTAATTCATTTCAGATAAATAATAAATTAAAGTATTAGACTAAATCTTAACAAATATGAAAATACGAGAATCAATTTAAGAAATTGATTTGATATTTTACGTGTATTATTTAATCTGATAAACATCTTTCAGTTGACTAATATGTATAAAGAAGACAATAAAGTTGATTCGAACTTCGAAACCCAATGTCCACTGAATTCTGAATGGCGTATGACCCCCCCCCCCCCCCACCCCACCACCACCACCAAAGACGCAACCGAGGTTGACAATTGACAATTATACCTGCGTGCAATATTATAATACTATACTGAATGTTTTGTACAGATACATATAACAGAGAACATGGGAGAATAAATTCTGCGTAGTCAATATTTGAAACCCCTGCCACAAAATGGGTTATGGGATAAAAGGGGTCACAGAAAGGTTAGAAAATGTCCATTTCTGAGTTTTCTCATTTTTATGCAAATTTTCATTGATTTCACAGCACATTTTGTTTCAAAAAACTTACAGCACAAGCTTGCCTACCTACCAAAAGTATATATTTCATACACTAGTAACAGATGCATCTTATGTATAAAAATCTCAGACACACTTGTAAGAAAGCTTATGCTCCATGCTTATTGAAGTGAAAAGTGTCTTACATTATCTGCACCCTCTTGTGGCCTCCATGTAAGCTTTGAATCAAATTCAGCGCTAGTTTTAAAATAAGCATCATTATAATTTCGTAACTACATATTATCACAATTTTAAATGTGTTAAGATTTTTAATCAAATAAGGGGCTATACTCGGCCATTACCATACCTTGTCCTTTGCTATGGAATAAAATACATAATCAACTCAGGTTAAATTTAGTATGGAGTATAAAAGATGCATAATGCTCTATTTTCAATTATTTAAGATGTGTGCAGGAAATATTCGATAAAAAGACGGCTGGAGTCTGTCTGTCTGTCCTTTTTACGTCGGTGATGTGTATTAATAGCGGATGACCGACTAAAACGTGGGAGAGAGCGATCTCGGAACTTCCTTCCTTTGATGTAGTGACAATGAGACGTAGTATTTTAAACTCTCCATTGAAATCCTTTAGGTGTTTTACAAGATGTTCTATGAACGAAAGATTCTGGAAGTGTAAGGTAATGTATTAGAAATGAATATGAGTAAACTCTGTTCCTTTTGCCAGTGCTTGTATAATCTATTTCATAACTACAGTATATCATGTATATAGACTGTAATGTACAAATGTCGCTATTATTGAATCAAAATTGGAATTTTGATTTTTTCTTTTATTTTGAATAGGTTAAATTTAAAGAATGTCTACAGAGCCCCCACCTAAAAATAATTGTAGTTTTTTTTTCTTTTTTATTCAAGAACATTAAGCAGTAAAACTGTGATTGTAATAAGCATAACAATCTTTAAACTTCTAAAAATAGTTTTTAAACAATAAGGGTTGGTTTGAAGAAAACCTGCCGCTTGCTTATCAGAAGTAATGATTTTTTATCAGAAGTTAAAACTTTTGAAGCGGGGGTACAACAAGGGTCGGTGCTATGTGCAATTTTTTCTTATTATATAAGAATGATATTATTGTACACATGATTGTATCAACTCATTTACAGAGGATGCATCATTATGGCTACTCGATCCTGCTTTAACTCTCACAAAAGATCTTGTGGGAAAAGGCTACAGACATTTGGGTTGTTGAATGAAATGCTGGAAATTAAAAGTTTACGTCTACGTTAAATTATTAAGAAAGCAAAGTTTTTTCAAAGACTTTCACGTACATGTTTTATGTTGAGATATCTCCAGAAACCCTTTCATATTGAAGTGCATGTACAGGTATTAGGTTCTTTGTTCGGTCTAAGATAATATGTGTACGTATATGTTAATTTTTTTGATTTTTTCACAGAAAATGCCAAAACTGTTTGAAAATGTTTTTTAAGAGTTGGTTCATCAGATATATCCATTTTATACATTGAATTAACTTGGAACTATCATACCAAACAAGATCTAGAATTAATCATTAACGTATATGATTCTACGCGATTTTTCCTTGTAGTTCCGTAGAATTTCTACGAATTATTGCTGCCTTTACTATCAGTACAGGAGCGGATATAACCTTTGCATGACATTAAGTAGAAAAGTGTCCTTGCTACAATAAGATCACGGAACATTACCTGGCAAAATATTGAAAGAACTTTCCTTGTCTATATGCTTAATATACATTTTTTAGTCAATGGTACAACTTTTTTCTTGAATGTTTAGATTTTTTTATGTCTTGACTTTAGTTAAAAATTTAGTCTTTTGTCGGCTTTCTATATGCAAAGAGACTGGAATTTACTTTAAATTTCTATATATATATATTTTTTATTTACAAGTGGTTTTGAATTCTTTATTCTTATATGTTTGCAAATGATATACACGAAACCACCCATAATCCCATATTGTTTCAATAAAATAATATGTATTGGGGGAAAGTAAATACATGTACCAGAATATAGGGGAAAGTTACGGAGAAATTATACATGTTCTTTTATGTAAACGGGCGACTAAATACATGTATTATGAAAACCTTATAAAGTGAAAATTTCTTTTCTTGCGCAAAACAAATATTTCAAAATTCTTCACTAATGTCCGGGCACACGTATTAAATGCTAGCGTTGTTCTTTTTCTTTCATTTGTAGTATACGTCATGTAATTCAAGGACATCTCTAAAGCAGGTAAAAGACTTTCCATGCAATGAGGTGAATAAATTTTCTGAGCATTTATATATGCCAGCAGAATGTTTAATTTCCTAAATTTTATAAAGTTGGAAGTCGTCATAATAACATTACGACTGTGTATCCCATATTTTTACCAATTGTGTCTAAAAGTTCAATTATTCTAGTGAGCATTGGTGAGTAATGGCAACAATATCAAACCCTAAATAAGTCGACAGGCACTAAATTATCCCAATAAACCATACGGTGGGTCTATTGTGGAAAATATTGCAAGTGTAACAAAAGGCAAAACTGGATATTACTCATAATTATTCTTAATGATTTTATCTAATTTTATCACGAGCCGCTAGGCGGAAAATTGTCCGCTGTTACTGTCCTGAGGTTTTCGTCCGGAATTTTCACACCTGTTGCGATAACCAGTCGAATCTGATAACACAGGTAATTTAGAAGTCGACCCCGGGGGCTAAGACTAAGGCATAATATCTGTTGTCGGATTAAAAGATTTACAGATTATTATATATACATGTCATAGAGGCTCTTTCGACTTCATACAAGACTTGGGCGTATATGTATATTTATTATAGTGTGCTGGGAATTTTGCGACCATTGAAACTTTGGTAAGTTGACGGGAATTCTATTAAATTTAATGTATGATACTTATGCGTTTTGAAAATTAAGGGGTTAAAGTTTTAAGAGTCACTTCAATGATCACGTTTCCCTTTATGAAATAATTTTGAATTAATTTTTCTTAAAATAGTTGAGGAACCATCATTTTAATTATTTCTGAGACCTGTTCTTGCAAACATTGTATTTGAGAACTGTGCCCACCGACGGGTTTTGATATTTAAGACAATATAAGATACCGTGTTACTGTACAAGGTTTTGTGTTGTTTTATGCAATTGTTGTTAGATTAGCGTTCATGATAAGTTGTCATCTACTTTAAACAATGCACATTGCCCATCAGAGCAGTAATGACAGCGGGAACCTTTGTCAGTTTTGTTGACAATTCAACGCGGAGATTTAAAGCATTCAATCACAGGTCTTAAGTCGTCAAAATTTCGATCTAGACTATTGATTAGGGGGTCTCTTTTGTCATGTACGAATTTTCAGAAGGTAACAGCTTGTTTTAAGGTAATTTTATATTTTTCAGAAACAGTGTGCAATATATAAGAGAATTTGCGCACGCAGACAAGGCGGTATTTTCGTTCGAGTGCCACGTAAATAAGAGAAGACAGGACCAATAAGATTGCCCTAGGATAAAAAGTCCCGCGACGACGCACATGGGTGATCGCCGTGACAAAACATTTCATTTGCATTAAAGAGTTCATAACGCAGGTATTCTGGACACAGGTAGCACGATATGGCTACCTCTCATTTAGTAGTGACTTTCTGTGCCACTGCTGGCAAGAATGGGGAAGATTTAGGTGTGGACGAGGAACAAATTGTGCTCTTCGTGTATCTATTATTCGACGTACTGAACTGCAAGGTGAGAGGAAACTTTTATCTAAACTTCTACACGTAACCCACTTCAAAACACACACACATAAATACACATATGGCCATCCGGTTTTCATTCACCTGTGTTGAACACGCGGTTTTGTGTACACTTTACTTTTAAAACTTAGAAACTTTTTTTTCCTTCACTTGAGATAAGTTATTTAGGTATGACATTTCTGTACTATTAATCATTCGATACATTACACTCGATCTAAGTGAATAGACATACCAGAAGTATGTAAACACAAGACGGTAGACCCCTTCTTAACTAAAAATAATCACGTTTACTCTGGCCTATTTTTACCTGTCGATAGGTGTGTAGTGTTTATTTCACTTTGTACATTTCATGACATTTTGACTAAAACTCCCCAAAACTTAATTCTGCATTAATCACTCGCCATATGGTGTCTTTAAATGTGTCAATGTACGTTAATGTTTTCACAGCAGGTTGAAATTGGGAAGTGTTCACACGATTATTAATGTACCATATACAAGCAAAACCGGCTTTATTGACAAAGCACAACAAATGACTCATCTTGACAACATTTTTAAAAGACATTTCCTCTTACTTTTATTTTATATTTTCTTAGATTAACCATTCTATTTATGATTTCATATAGGTAGTTGCAGTACAGCAACATTATGTCAAGCCTCAACCCTCTGAGACCACAGAAACAGTGCTTACAGAAGAATGTAAGACAGAGACTGGTCTGAATGAGGAAGCTGTCAAACATTCTCAGCCTCTAGAACACATCCTGGATGAGGTGAGATTGTTTACATTTTTACATCCCCCTCCCTATGAAGTTTACATCCCGGTGTATATTTCTTATCAAGCCCTCATAAGCTATCTATTTGACAACCATCGAAAAACCTCTTACTGATATTTATTCCATACTTAATGCCCTTTTATGTTAATATTTACCACCCAGTTCTAGATACACGCGTACGAATATCCACGCGACTTTATGAGTGTATATTTCATTTTTGTTTACTCCCCCAATTCAGAAGTGAACATTGTTGTATGCCTGTACAATCTTAAGCAAACAACATCAGCTGTTGATTGACAAACATCCAACGGAGCTAAATAATAATGCAACAATGGGTTCACCATTCATATATACGTATAAATATCTGCATTTAAATTCCTTGCGAACGTTCAATTTGCCTTCAGATTTAGACTCAGGGAGTAAAACCACTGCAAGTGAAACTGTGTCAGTCCGTCTCTGAATGACATTTTCTCGCCTGACTTGCATGATAAATGATTGTGTTAACGTCAGGAGAAAATATTTTTTGGATAATTAGATACATTGCGAGGACAAATATGACATATACCGTATATCTAATTTTCCAAAAACTTGAGGGACACTAATGATTTGTGAATAATTTATTGCTGCTTTAATTATCAAATGTCTCCACAAAAAAAACTAATAATCAAATTAATTTGCTGTAATTTATTTTGGTGAATATTTAATAAATGACCACTTGCTCTGGCGCATTTGGAGTGCCCTTTTTCCATATTCTTTCCAATCGCAACCTGTCGTCAACTTTTTTCCAATCGATGACGTACATTTTAGCCCATACATTCGAACATCGTGTTGGTAACATCTTGTCCAACAATTCTTACCGAGAGGAGAGGTACTGCTGATGAAAAGCGGCGGCAGCTGGTCAGATGGAATATTTATATCGTTGGGAAATAATTTCTATATATGGCGTATTCAGCAAAGTTATGGATGAATTTTGCCTTTTCACTTTGATAACGATTGTAACATACTGCCGGCTACACGTGTCTCTGGGTTGAATGATGAGGAAGACACAAATAGCGAAAATGTACAATTATATGATACAGATATAAATTGTCCAATTTTGTGAATTACTTATAAATGTCATGCGAGTAATAGAGACTTGGGACCTAAACAGCTGACTTTTGCTTGTTTCAGGGGGGAAATTCGGTCAGGGATATTTTTTTCTTTACCCATGACATCTTAAATTCTAAATGAGGGGATAAATAGCCAAGGGGTTGCTGTCCCTTTTTAGAATTATATAAGAGAATACACCTGTTAAGATTAAGCAGGTACTCATAAAATATCTAAGGGCACCTGACTACTTTCAACGTTATCGTAATTCTCTTAGTGTCATGAGAAAAATGAAACCTGTCCTAAAATGTAACAGGCAGACGACAAGTTGTACTGCTACAGACAACAGAAAAAACGTCTGCAAAAAACTCCATGTTGTAAAAAAACTCCACAAAAGTTTACACCAAATTCAGCTGCAGATTAGTGTAAAGAAATAAATCAAAATAATAAGGCTCTGAAAGAAGGAAAGAAGGTCAATCTGTGTGTTGATTGATGGTCAAGATCTTTTTTTTTTTTTAAATTATCCATAGACATTAAATAACAGTCTGGTTTGGTAATGTCATCATATAGCCCTATCCATAAATATGTTAATGTAACAAATATTTTACGAACTATCCAACTCAAAGAATGCATGTATATAAACATCCCATGGTTTTTTTCTGACATGCAAGAGCACCATTTCCCCAAATAAAGTAAAACGAAACTCTGTATTGATACATTTGTGTCATAGTTGATCCATTGCAATATACTTAATGCAAGTTTATTTTTCATTCACAGTTCGACAGATTTTTGTCTTCCAAGGGAGTTCACCCTGAACACGGAGGGAAATCTTTCTGTGTGTTAACAGACGGACAGTTACATCTGCGCCAGTGTCTTCATCCAGAAACCACAAACAAAAACATTTCACTGCCCTCCTATTTTTATAAGTTTTACGACTTGCGGAAAGAATTCAAGAAGTTCTACAAAACAGATAATATACCCAATATCAAATCTATGCTGGACTGTATCCTTTTTTATGCAAAATTTATACAATGAAGAAATCTTGCGATTGGAATTTGTGAGTATTATCATGTGCATAACAAATTATCTGACTTATTTATAACAAATTTAAAAATAACACTGTTCGAACTTACGGGTAACTCTTCAATTATTTTGAGCCTCCATATTTCATTTAAAATATTTCATATCGCGTTTCATCTCTACATATTTATTCAAAAATATGTTACGGTTGTGCCTTTTGAATTTCTCCCAGTAGAGCGTAATTATTAAACACCCAGAATGGCATAGTTATTCTAACCTGACGTTTTAATTAGACCTCTTAAGAAAGAGCGGAAAAAAAGTTTGATAATGCTTGTTCCGAGTAATTCACACTCATTTTCAAAAGTCGTGAAATACTCTAATACTTTTTAAGCTATTGTCAAAAGTTTTCTCGTCAACATTTCTGTTTTAAAAAAATTGGTCGCGGTATATCGATAAGTATATCAGAATTCCTCTTAGCTGAGTAAACCAAAAGTTGGCGTTATACATAACTAAAAGAATTAAATATATTCATGAAGGCACCAAACAAAGAAGCAAAATTAATGAGAAAAACAAACACACGGAATTAGGAGAAACAGGATTAATCGCGAAAAGAATGGAAAGTGTAATTTAAAGTCCCCAAAATGAAAGTACAATCCGTTGATGTTTAGTCAGGTTGGATTAGGCTGAGCACGGGTAGATCGGGGGACTGCTATCCTTTGAAATAGAAATAGGTTTACAGATTATACGTCCAACCAGTGTTTATTTAGCCGATTACCCCAAAACCTGTCGTAATCGTTCGTGGAATGGCTACTACTGTACCGATTACTGTTGAAACCTACATGTACGTACTGTGTGTCGATCTTTGCCCGAATACACACATTTGTTTTATGGAGTTTTTGTTGACCATCGATCATAACTAATATTGCATTCTCCACGAATGATCTTTTGTTTACCAGATAGGAGTTTTAGTCATATCTTTTGGGGGAGGGGGTGTTAAAGTTAATTTTATGATAGGAATAGATAGGTTGCAGCTGATCAAGCAGAAGTTTTGCAAAATTGATCCATGCTTTAGTCTTTCTCATATCACAAGAAACCTGAAAAACATTGATAAACAAAACATTTAGTAACCATAGCCGTTTATGCGCATTTATGCTCATTTTCTTTAGACATAAGCCACTACAATTACTTTCGGAAATCCTCGTCATAGCGATGTTGTTGATTTCTTTGTTTGCTGGCAAGGCCAATGTTGGGTAAAATTCGCCCTCATCCTTGTTTGTCATAGCTGTGATGTCTAGTGATAACTCGGTATTGTTTGCATCACTCCGGGTAGTGTACCCGACCCCTTCCTGATTTAAGATTTCCTTATCAGTATCTGAATGCAGTGAAACAACCTCTTCTGTGAATGGATTATTCACACAGCTATTTTTAATTTAGTTTATGAGCTTTCCTATGAGCCCCCCTGTAAGCGTTCTTTTTAGATTTTCTCCTATACCAGAGTGTTTTAGATTCTTCTTAAGGTTACATATAAAAACAGTCATGTTAATAAAAAATGGAGGCGATTTTGTACAAGTGTCCGATTTGTTTTTGTTTCTCCTTTGTTTGCAAGGAAAGGCAAATTGTGTGTGGTTTGTGGCCATATAACAAGTTATGTGTCATAAAGGAACTGGAGATGGGGCTTTTATATTCTCGTAGCCATACATTTGGACAGGGTTTGGCTCGACGATATCTGTCACATCTGAAGATTCAGGTTGACCATCGCCAGAAATATACCATCTTGTCCCAAGGATAAAAGCTAAAATTCTTTATCAAAACACACACACCCCTGGCTCCATCCTTTATGTTAACCATCACTGACTTCCTAGATCTCTCTGATTATTTGCCCGAGGTTGCTATGCAGCAACATTTTATATGGTCGCACAACTCGGATTGGAGTAATATAAACTTCGAAAATAAGATTATTTACATGCGAAAGACAGTAAAGAGATTTATGCAAGTTGATGAACAATTTATGCTAATTAATGTAAAAATAATCACAGCTTTATGTCAATTTCTTCGTGCATTAACCTTGGAGGAAATGAAGAGAAACAAAAGTGTTCAGCTTTCAATTTTTAATGCAGCTCAGATATGAAGCAATATTAAAATTTAAGTGCATTATAGAGAGAGATATGACGATTTCCTGTACTAAGACAGAGATTTAAGATTTCTTAGTAGATGTTCATCTATTTTTTCGTGGGACGAAGATCTCTTTGCCCCAGGATATACGTTGGTGACAGCGCTATGCTTGATTGTATTCAAGCTATCTTGGTAGAAAAAGTCACGGTTTGTGAATTTACATTGCCTAAGGCTTTCTTAAACATTTAGAAGCTTATACATACTAAAAATTTATTTTTATAAATGTAAATAAAAATACCGATTTCCCTTTTTATTTTCATTTGATAAACAGTCTTTGGATGCGGAAAATGGAGGAAATCTTAATTTTTATATGCGATAACATGCGACTAGGATTTTTGTGAAAAGGTGTCTTCTGATTTTCTTCTTTTTTGAAATAATAAATACGATCACGTGATTTTAATCATGTTTATAGTTTATGTATATGTAGTTGCTCACACTAGGTATTTTAGCATTCACTCTTTTTTGTTTCTTTTGCTGATCGCATAGCGGTTGTTTGATATTACGTTCAGACTTGCTCAAAAAAACTTTCTCATTTTCTTTTTGACGACAATTTACCATTCTAACCCCTTTGTCTTGCTTGACCCAGGCGAAGTTTGATGTCACTTGGTTCTTTGTTTTTTTTGACATTGGTGGATGAGTCTCTACTATTGTTGTAGAAGGTATCCTAGTTTCAATTTCTGCGAGTCCTTATCTCTTTTCATTAAGCGTAAATCTTCCAAGTTCCACACAATGACTGTTATCAGAAAGGCCATCTTCTATTGTCATAAAGACCCCCAAACTAACACAAAAACTGAAAGTTTTGGTTCCAGATCACAAATAATGCAATCTATCAGATCAAAGAAAAGCTAATCTCAAAAATATTTTTCTAATTTAATGACTTTGGTTAAAAAGTTAAAAAGAATATATTGTGGTACACTATATTCAAATTTGTGGTCGAGAAATTTTTAAGGGGAATGTGCAAGATACGTAAGACTGGAATTTTAAAGACAAGGGTATCGATATCGACAAAAGCACAATAGCTGATATTGAGGATTGATTTTCTGTAGATCGAGGATCTCCAAGTTTTGGGAGAGGGCTTTGTTAAAACTCGAGTAAAACCGTTTCTTAGCCGTGAAACGTGAAGTCGTCGAAGACTTTAGGCTTATCGTATAAGACAAATGCTCGAGAATCTTAAAATCTTTATCGAAGTCCCTTTCTTCTGCAATTTATTTTGTTAAAAGTGATCATGTGTCATTGCTCTTACGATTAAAGTCTTGGCGGTGATCCGTCAGATTGCACCGTAACTTACATAAAGATACTTCGTTCTAAACATAACTCATTTACATAGGTATTAAACAACTTGAAAAATCGATCTTGTACATGATACATGAATTTGAGGGGGGAAAACATGTTTTACACTACTTAAAGAAGACAACAAAAACATTCAACAACTTGTATTCTTCCAGGAGCAATTTTTTTTGTATGTTGTGAAAATATCTGTACAAGGGAATAGATCTTGATATTTTGTTTTTACAGCTTACAACTAAATCCTTAGTAAATGCCCTTTAGGAGAAACTTAACTTATTCCGTACACACTGATAAAACAAAACATTCCCTTGTCAGAACGGTTTATTCGGTGATTACTCAAGTTTTTCGCCCCAGGGATACACAAAAAACACCTTCCATCCATCCATTCCGAACCGAATAAATCACTTTATCCTCGGTCATACTAGCTGTTCCTTGTTTTCAAAAGTCATACATGCATTTGTTTTATTTTAACGTTGACATCAAAACAATCTTCAAAAATAATCTCTAGTTGACTATAATACTACAAAAGAAAATCGCCACGGCGATTACGAAAAAGGATATTCATGGCTCCATTTTATTTTTCTGTCGTCCCCTTTTTCGCAAATGAATGTTTCTTTAAAAAAAGGTGGTTTCTTTTATTGTTTACACACTGCAGTGCGTTTATGTCTTCTAAAACACCCATGTCTTTTAAAGATGTAACTTGACATAACTATTTAATGGATGTGTAAATATAGTTTTGATAATCATCGTTCGCGTTTATTTTTTTGATCTATTTGATATCAGCACACACATTTTTTTTTCGTGGGGAAGTTTTTTAAATATCTTAACCACTACAATAAATTGGAAGTTAATAATTACATTTTAATTTGTTTGAAGTATTACACCCATACTGTGAAAAAAATTCATATAATAAAATATAAAAGATCTTTCAATTACTAACGGAAATGTGAATGGGTTAGTATTTTTCCTTGACTCAATCCATTAGATTTAGGATTACAAGAGGACAACTCTGTGGAATATGGAATTCGACAATGTCAAGAAATGGCGAACGTTCTACACAGATTAATCAACGATGGTAAATATAACATTCTTTACCCCCCCCCCCTTTGTCTCCCGATTTTAGAATGCCAGTTGTTACGTATAGGACAAATAGCAGATTTTCTTCTTCTTCTTGTGTAGTAACAATTTCAAGGTCTAAAAAGAGGACTATAGTTTTTTTTACGTTTGAGTTCACACTCGCATTTTTAAATGTCTTTGAAGTCGACATCTATGTTTGCAGCTTTGTCACTTTGCTAATTGATATATCCAAATGTCACAGACATATCACACAAAAATAATCGTGTGTTGCAGTTGTGAAATTTATTTAGTTACAAAACAAAATTCATCAGCATTTTTAAACAAAAGACATAAAAACAATGCGTTTTGCAAATTTCACGCATATCAATTCCATATATCTGTTAAATTCTATCTGTTATACTTTTCAGAAAATGTAAAAATCGTTATCTTGGACAAAATTGATCTCTTTAGCAAGATACTGAGATCATAGATATTTGTCTATAGCTTATAACAAGTTCTGATTTTTAGTCTGATTAATTCCATTGGAGACTTTATTAAAACAAAACAGCAAGATACTGTCAACACGTTAGATAACTATACAAGATAAAATAGCGGTTCTCAGTCCGTAGATGTATTGTACATTTCCTGATCTTCATCTACCACATGCGAAGCTACACAATGTGTTTCTATGTGCTCTTCTTTTAATTGTAGGGCACGTGTTTGGGGAACCAGAAATAATAAACGAACGTTTAGAACCCGGTATATGGTAAGCGCTGTAATCACGATATTTTGCGACATCTGTCCCTTTTACGGTAGTCGTGACTGCTACTTTGGCAACATGTTGAGCGCAAGCGCAGAAAATCAATATTTAGTCATTTTGTTAAATAAATAAAAATAAGATCATTGGATTATCACTTACATTTGCGCAGCTGGCAGCATTCAATAATAGTTAAATTAAACCTTCTTATTAATTAATTTTAGTAATTAGAAAAACTGATGCCTAATTCAACATGTTCACAAACCCAGTTATTTACGCACATTTTTACATTTATAAAAACATACTTCTCTGTAAAAAAAATGTGAAGAAATTCAACCAAAACATATTTTTATTCATTCGAATGATTATTTAATAATACCATTGCAGCAGTAAATCGGACATCGTGGATGACAACCATGTTGTTCGAGCTCGCGGTCTTCCATGGCAGTCTTCCGACCAAGATATTGCACGATTCTTCAAAGGATTAAACATTGCAAAGTACGTCCTTATATCATCTATTAGATAAATAATATTCCTTGATGAAATAATAATTAAGTACTTAAGTTAACAACTGTCCTATTTCCTCCAACAGAGGTGGCGTAGCGCTTTGCTTAAGTCCACAGGGTAGGAGAAATGGGGAAGCATTAGTGAGATTAGAAAATGAAGAAAATAGAGATCTAGCACTGAAAAGACATAAACATCATATTGGACAGAGATACATAGAAGTATATAAAGCCACAGGAAAAGATTTTGTTAACGTTGCTGGTGGTAAGTTTTATCAAGTTAGGGTTCATTCTAAGAATTATATTGAAAGAATTGGCTTATTCAAAGGACTTATTTGAATACAGAATTGTTATATATAATTCAGATCTCAAAAATGATTGACAACTTGTTTTCAGGTAGTAATTCAGAAGCGCAAGCATTTCTTTCAAGAGGGGGACAGGTCATTATACGCATGCGTGGATTGCCATTTACAGCCACTGCGCAACAAGTGGTATGTATCGAAACCATCTATTTGCAGGAACTACATTATATATACAGGCTTTTATTATTTAGGATTTAAGCATACACAGAGTCCTTCATTTACTCTGCAAAACTTTGCATATTTATAACTACTTAGTATGAACTCAGATTACCTATGCATGATGTATGTACAAAATTTGCTTAACATGATACATTTTTCAGCATGCGGTTTTAGCAAAATTGCTAAAACATTTTCTGAGCTGAATACAGGTAAGTTGAAGGACCCCAATAAGTAATATTCATAAAAGGGAATGCGTGTGGACGCTAAGGGAGGTTACGGTTATAGGGGAGATAATTCATGTTTTGTCGCCATATTGGATATGGAAATTTTGGTGCCAGTGATGATCCAGTTGTATTGCAAGTTTTCCGACGGTGCGGGGCAGTTAAGGGTTGGTTGCAGGCTACAACTATAATTACTCAGATATCTTCACCTTAGGAGTGAAGCGGGGTATTCGTAGTAACATACGATTTACAAATGAAATTAATTCTTGGTAAATAGGTCATATATTCATTCATTCTATCAGATCGGAGGTGTTTCTTCAACTATTTGAGGCGGAATACAAAAAAAAAATGGTGAAAATAATCAATTTGCAAGCTGTATAAGCAATTTAAAAGTTTTTTACCTGACAACGTTTATAAATTCATTTTTAGAAAGAGATGGTTCTTTATATTTGGCATTTTCTAGTTCATTTTTAGCTTATAAAGTCTTTTTTTCTAAAGGAGGTATAGTTATCTCACAGTAGTGGAAGGGCGCAGTGCATGTTCACAAGAAAAGAAGGGGGTCATTTATGTCTTTGTGTAGGACCAATCTCTTTCTAACAACCCAAAAAGTCACTTCAAACTAAGTTGCTTTGAAACACCTCTGTTGAAACTGAAGACGTTCTGATATTGGTATCTGCAGGACTTTGGAGGGCTCTCATCTCCGTATTGTTGTGTTGGTATATATCATATGGGGTTTTTCATTAATCACTAATAAACAAGTTGTGCTTAACAAATTAGTAGTAACAAATACCACTGGGAAGGAAAATAATGTACTACAGGCTTCCAGGTATAATTATATTTGATATTTGCCAAAAAAAAACAATCATAACACATAAAGCTGTTCCATCATTGAAATGTTTTCGGTCAATCTTTGCCATCGACTTCGTCAGAAGGAAGGATGGCACAGCCTGCAGATACTAATTTACACTAGCTTATGATATTGGTGCATGATGAAAGCATTGTCAAAGTTGTCGTTGCTATTATCTGTCTTTGCGCTTACAGCTAGAGTTCTTTGCCCGAGAGCCATCCGTTTCGGTGTTGGATGGAGAAGAAGGGATTCTCTTTGTCCACTATCCTGATGGAAGATCCACTGGTGATGCTTTTGTTCTTCTTGCCTCAGAAGAAGATGCAGTTTCAGCACTGAAGAAACACAGGGAGATCATGGGAACACGCTACATTGAACTCTTTAAAAGCACTACTGCTGAAGTTCAACAGGTATTGATCAGTATTGAAGAACAGACTGGTTTAATGGTTGTTGATTCAAAACAAGGAGTTTTAAAACGTTTTGATGGAATTTTTTTTCGAATATTTGACCTAAGGTTTATTTCTGAAAACAGGTTCTCAACAGAAGCATGGACCCAAGGAACCCAGAACCCCAGGAAACCCCTCTTCCAGCAATAATCACCCAACTTACTCCCCAAAGCCAGCTTCCTTACATTCCTCAAAGCCTCATTACAAGCGGTACTCGTCGCGACTGCATCCGGTTACGCAACATTCCAGGTGGCGCTCAGGTTACAGATATTTTGAACTTCCTGGGCGAATTCTCTCAGTTTATAATCTTCCAGGGTGTTCACATGGTTTATACAGCACAGGTACAATTAAACTTCATTGCTCTCAGGCTTGATTTTTCTGAAAATACAAAGTAAAACATGTTACCAATACCTAAATCAATCTTTGAAAATAATGCAAAATTTGTGTTTCTCTAGGGAGAGCCTTCAGGTGAAGCATTTATACAGATGGATTCAGAGGAGTCAGCACAGCTGACAACAATTAATAGAAATAAGAGACACATGGTGTTTGCCCAAAAGAAAAGAATTATTGACGTCATACAGTGCTCTGGGGAGGATATGAATCTCGTATTGACTAATGGTATTCCCACAACGTCTATACCTTCACCACCACAAATACCTTTTATACAGAGACCCATTCTTTCACAAGGTAACAACTTCTATTTAATTATAAATTAACTGATTTTATATTTTTCCACTAAGGATTTCTATCAGACAATGATGGTGTACTCCACTTTATTTCAGGATTGACTTCCTTTCCCTCCCCAACTACGCCCACACTCATTCCAACGTCTTTGCCATCACTGCAGCCGGCATCATTGCCCATTGCCCACTTGCCACAGCATCTCCAGACGGCCGCCTTCCCGCCAACCATGATGTCTGCCCCCCTTGCAGCAGCTCCAAGACCTGCCTACTTTCCCCAGATTGTTTACTGGTACCCTAGCCCTCCTATTTCTCCACAAACCTATGTCACACATACAGGGCCTCCCACGCTTGTCGTATTGAGAGGCCTTCCCATCAATGCACAAGTTCAAGACATTTTGAACTTCTTTCAAGGTTTTCCAGAGGTATGTTTAGGTCCATATTCCAAATTTAGAAATCATTTGAAGTACTTGTCATTCAAGATCTTGAAAATTATAAATCACAAACATTGTGATTTGTTACCTGAAAACAAAATAGAGAAATGATTTTGAACAATGCTAAAGGAAAACCTAGTCTATTTAAAACAGGGAAATGTGTGTGGATATGCGAATAGGATGGAGCCCTGTATGTTTGAAGAGTGTGCATTTGAATTCTAGCTTATGTATTGCTTCTAGAGTGTATCCATAGTTACCTATAGTTTCTGCTAACCGATAATCAGTACTCTTGAAATATTTCACTAACACTTTTTTTCGAAATATGGAAAAATAAATTGCTGTTATTAGTGCACAAGCATATGAAAGCTCATTGCAATTGTAAAAAAGATCGATGAAAAGAGCTTAAAATTAAATTACAATTACGTTGAGCTTAATAGTAGTTGAAGCTATACTGCACAGCACCTCAGAAATTATGATTAAGAGACCATGTATTTGTGAATTTGACTTTTATATGTTTCATGTACACCTGTACATGGTGGAAGTTTTCTACTAATGTGTGAACAATTTGTTCTAAAATAACCTGAGTTGAATCATACTATAATTACACAGCCTTATACTCACAATATCATATGATCCTTTCTATATCCTTCTGTTGTAGCACTTTATATCATACATGTATTTATTGTAACCTTCTTAAACTTTAAAATTGGCATGTTCAAACTGGAAAAGTTAATTTAATTTTTAATTCAAGTATATTTAGTGAAGATATTGTAATTAAAAGTGGCATGGAAATATGAATGATTATATATCATTATCAAATTTATATCTTACGTCATCACTTTTCAACTTCTGTATGAACAGTAAATCTGTTAGTGGAAATCCTTGACGAACGGCTTGAATAAAAGGTTATTATATTTTTGTCTAGGTAACCCCAGAAAACATTCAGATTCAGATTTTACCAGATGGAAGACTTACAGGGGACGCCTTGATTTCCTTCATGACACGGTCGGAAGCAGAGCGTGCAATAGCTCAGAGAAGCAAACATACAATTGGACAGTGTGTTATAGAGCTGTTTCTAGCCTAAATTGACATGGGTAAAGTACGCAGTGTGAAAAAATTAGTATGAAAAGAAAGAAAATCACACAATGTGTTCAGACATTCCAGGGTCCAAATAGATATGTTTATTTTAGTAATTTTATGATGTTTATTGTATTATAATTGTAAAGATATATAAATCTGCTAATCTCTTTTTTTTTTCTTGAAAAGATCTTGCATATTTTAACTTAAAATAGATCTGAACACACATGGCAAATCTAGCAATATTTTATATATATTACTTCCAGTCAAATTCTTGCCTGTCTCACTTCTATTTCCGACTATTTTGCCATGTTTGTATTTTAAGAGTTGTTAGTAGAACAGATTACTGCAAAAAAATATGTTGCTACATGTAATTATTCTTGTTATTAGTGCTGCGATAAATTTATATTTTGTTTAATTTCTTGAAAAGTAAAAAGAAATATTTCAAGTAACTATATATTATTGATATGCATATATAAGTGCCTACATTTGAGTATTGAGTCAAGTATTGTTATACCGTTTTACAATTTACGAAATGATTGTGAATACGCGTCATGTTTATTTTGTTTTTGTTTTTATTGTTGTTTATGTTTATATCAAAACATATCACTCCATGACAGCCTTTGATATTTTGTATTTTTTATCCATGCTTGAAAATAAGACCCTTTTTAAAGAGAATTATCTTGAAGCAAGGGATTTTAATGATAATTTGTCATAAGTCAAAACTTTACAAAAAAGAAATTCTATATTCCAAAATCAACGTATAACTGTTATAGTTATCTATTTTATGCAAAAAAAAAAATTCTATGCAATATCAAGAAATCAAACATAAATTTGAATGTTCTAGTCATATTTTGTTGTTTAGAATTTATTACATGTAATATACTAACTGATAGTAGTAATTATATACTGAGTTTATAGCAAGCGCATGATAATTTGATTTTTTGAGGTTGTGATTATTAATTAACGTGTTGTATATAAGCCATGACAGCTATTTTTAGCCATAGGGATTATGCACTTTTGCTTTGAGAAAATTATGAATACAAATGTACATGTATAGATATTACAATTGTGCAATATCTAAAATAAGAATCGCTTTAATTTTTTAAAAAGCTGTTTTAGATGATCTTGATATCCTTTTCTTACACCAGAAATTTGAATCTTAAATAACTAGAAAAGTTTTTGAGAAACAGTTTTTGATTTTTGTCTTTTATTTTTTTTTTCTTTGGTTCTTCTTGAAGAAAGATTTTTTTGAATTCAGATAAATTATAAATAATTCTATAGATATACATTATTTTAATGTTACCTTGTCTAGATTTACTGATATTTGTTAACATGATCATTCCTACGCATAATTGTTGTACATTTTTGTAAAAAAAAAAAATAATAATAACTGCTGATGTATATGACTCTTCCCACGATGTTTTGTAGAATGTTGTAGATAAGATTGTAGCAATGTTAGATTTAGAACTTTATATATATACATTATAACATCAAAACTATAATTTTCCATAAAAAATGGCAATAAACAACTTAGAATCGCAGTGGTGGTGGTGCTGTATTGTTTTGGTGTTGGTGGTGGCTTTTTTGCTTGAATTTATTCTCCATTATTACGTGGAATTGCGCAATACACTCAGTTATTTTATGCCATAGCACTTGTGTGATTTCAAGAAGAAGGGAACAAGCACTAATATCGTAAGAGCATTTTATGGTGGCAGTGTATTTATACATATCATTTTTTAGAGTTATTTGCTCTTGATATTTTTGTTCGGGATGGGCGTTTATTTTTTAATTGGGGATTGCACAAGCGAGTGCAAGTACTCACACAATTTTACCAGGAATACCTTTGCCAGAGGTTTCATATCATTTTAACACAGACGTATTTTAGACACGTGTTTAATTGTGCAATAAGGATTATGGACAATGTTTTTTAAAATGGTTGAGGCATTAAAATTAGTTGGGTTTTAAGTTTTGGAGGTGTTTTGGTGCACATTTGCTTTCTGTGATATATTTATTTTTAAGTTTTTAACACCTTTTTAAAGATTTTTATGAAATATATATTTATTAAAAACTTATTTAAAAAATATATGAAAATATGTCCATGTCTTTATTGACAATTAAACCGGAAATGGTATAAAATGTGTGGGTATTGTGCGCAACTTCCCTTTTTGTGATGTGGATATGGTACGGTTGCTCGTGGAGCCGGTGAAGGTGAACTTAGTTTCTCTTTGTGCTAAAACCCCCCAGGAAAACTAAACGGAATGAATTTACTCTTGTGGAGTCTTTGGTGCGTCACGGTTAAAAGAAGGTGGTACTTCAGGCTTTTACTAAAGGTGGCCAGTCCTTATACACGAGTGCTGCAAACCTTAAAATATTTAACACGTTATTAGCTTTGGAAGGCAAGATGTCATGCAGTTGCAAAGTGCCATACCGTTTTTAATATAATCAGAAATACTCATATCAGTTTCCAAATACTTCTTAAAAAACAGCATATCAAACACACTTGTTAATTTGTCTCAACAAATTGTCATCTTGCTGCTGGTTTTATACCTGTGCAATACAAACCTCTAGCTGACCTCGATCTAATCAGAGTCAAAACGGAGCATGCGGTGACTAGTCAATGGAATAATGTTGCATGATTTTACTATTTATTATTCCTACATATCACTTTGTCGTTTGTTTTATTCACCCATTTTTTTTTTTCATATTTAGATTGTAGAAAATGTCTTTTTAATTATACATATCTTTATTTTTAACGCGCCAAGCTTACATTATCAGGTGACTAGAAAAAAAATAACTAGTCGGTATTGCTTATTCATCACTGCTCAATGTGATGATGCAAAATTCACTGAGCAATGGCCACAACACTTTATTTGTGTTTTGTAAGCTTGGAAAGTGGTATGTGTTCAGAAATATATATATATATATTTACATATTCTATGGGCAAGTGAAATATTCTTGTCCCAAATGTTAATGTATTACGTTGCATTTACAGTTTTTATTATTTTATGAAATGTCGCATTATTAAGAATAAAATATAGTTAAGTTGATCAATGCATTCTAATGGTTGCAATTGGGTGTAGATCTTGAAAAATAGATAACAAAGTATAATAATTACATCATCTTAATTTTCTAAGTCCTTGAAGCATATAGGATTTAAAATACATTTGATTGTAGACTTTTGGCTGTTGAAAAGTTGTTCAAAGAGAGTGCGTTGTCATCTCTTTTGCTGCTTTGCTTTTTCATCAAGAAAACCCAGAAATGTAAGAACATATTTTAAAGATCAGTCTACATTAATCGTGTTCTGAGTTTGTTTCGCAGACACTTACCGTCATTGTTTTCAGACAAAGGTTATATTTTAAATACTATCGGACTATCTTCTATCATTTGCTATCTAAGGTGCAGAAGTTCTGCGTCTTGATAGCATTTGGCTATTGTTGGACTTCTTGTGTTACTTCTGGCTAATTGTTCTGCACAATGAATTGATTGGATCTTATCATTGTTTTAGCGCACCAACACCTCGCTGTGATGATCAGCATGGACTTGTTTTACTTTGCTGATATCCCATTGACAAATTATACTATTTCGAGCCGCTTCATTTTGAATAGATTTTTTACAGGCGTATTGTTTAAAGGTAGACTTGTAAGATATTTATTTCAAACATTTCGAAGATGGATCAACAATTATCTCTTGCAATGAAGTTGGAGGGTATATGTTATGGGTTTGTTAGGGTGAGTGATTGAACGTTTGAGCAAGTAATACCTTATATCGGGATTGATATGCTTTTTTGAAGGGGATATTCCGCTTTATGGCGGCCTTCTTGTGGTGTATGTGAGATACACATGTTTTTGGACATAAGTTCTCTACCAGTAAAACAATATACTATGTTTAGCTACATGTAGACGCCCAAGGAAAGATTTCGGAAGACTACTGAAGATCACAGTATTCAATTTGTTAGATAACGACTTCTCGTGTATCCCCTTTACAACTGATACAATAACTGCAACGCAGGGAAATTTGTAGAAGCATAGACCAATAATACATGTTTCCTTCGTGAAACAGAAAGATTGAAAAGGAATTACGAAATACACATTAAACAAAATAAAATAAAAGATTAATTTCTGATCTTAAACACAATTGTCATATAAACGATTTAAAAAGATGCCTTCATTTGAAAAACTGATTTCTACACAACATATAGGGAAAAACAATTCTTTAAAAAGACAATTTCAGATTTATTTGGCGTTTGTTATATTTTGTAAGAAATCAAGAATCAATTTATCTAATTTCAAACCTTTATTTTTCTCTTCTACACAAATATCTTAAGTTTCTTGTTTTTAACTAACCATTCTATATATACCTTATTATTTCTGCTCTGCCATTAGTTCATATTACCCCTCATGATATAATGCATATAAAATAATAGGACTCTTTAGTTTGATAAATTAAATATTAGATCACACAAGTTATTAAGCAAGAGATTAAAAAAAGATGTTCAACATCTTTTAGTACAATTTATTATTAAGTTTCAATCGTCCTTGCTGTTTAAACCGTGGAACGAAGGAACATAACTCATTATTTATTTATGAAAGAAAACCTTTTTTATCCTCATTTATGAAGTTTTCAGACAAAGAAAAGATTATCAGATATAGATTGTTAAACGTATGATTTTCCGAAGTCTTGTCCCGAGACCTTATTGTTGAACCAATTGGGTATTAAATGCAACTTTGAAAACGGATTGCCTAGATATCCAGAAAAAATAAAATTATAATTTTGTAAATTTAACAAATTAATCACCCTCTCTACACCAGTGCAAGTGTTTGGCCATGGAGAAAATATATTCTATAAGGCTTCTTTAATTAATTTTCACAATATGGTACGTGGCATTTACCTCCAGGAAAAATAATCAAATATAACACAGTATTATTGAATAGAAATCACTGTCGTTTACTTCCAAAGAGACAGTACATGTAAGTAACATTTTCATTTAATTTACCATGGCCTTTTAAAACGTTAAGAATACTTGAATTGATTACATATTGTGTAATATACTGTGAATTTATTTATTTTTTTAGAAATAAGATCTAAGGGCAGATTACTCTAACTGCAAAAAATACCATAGAACCAGAATTCTTTAGTCTGTGCAGTGTAGAGAGGGTTCTAAAGAAATTTTAATGTAAATCTCATTTTACCTCTAGAAAGTTATGCCTCATATTACATTGTAATATTCTCAAATAAACATAAAAAATATGATGAAACAAGAAGCAACGTATATAAGTAATAACTAATGTTACAATAAAAGAGCGAAAAGGAAGATCTGACTACTGATTGATAAATGTAAAATGGTTTTGATAAATGAACCTTATTATGTGAGACAGTTTAGAAGGTCGAAAAGTAATTGAGGAAAAAAAAAACACTTTTAGCATATCTGATAAAACATCATTACTTAAGTTGAGCATTATATTTCTAATTGGCTTTAAAGTGATACATGTATTATGATGTTTTCACAAGTATTGTTAAGAATCAGAAACCAATGAGATAATTATTCTCCCTCTCTCTCTTTTTATTTTTTATCTTTTAAATTGTAGTCAACATTGCCAATACATAAATAAAAATACAAGTAAAAATTATAGGCACATGCCAACATTAACATTATGTAATTTTCTCAAAATATTTAGCCATTCTAAATGAATGGTCCATCAAAATCAACTTTTTAAAAACATAAATCCTATATTTAAAAAAAGGAAAGATTTCTTAAACCTTAAGATTTTATAGCTTAAAAAATTATGAAAATATGAAATTCATTGAATATCAAATATTTCATTTGTAAATATGTAAGATCACATATGGTAATTAAACAAAATTAAGTGATTGCTCGGCTCTTAACAAATCAGTGATCTTCTCAGAAGGATACATGTAGTATCCTTAGTCACTTCTCGGCTGAAATCATTGAAAATCATGACTTTTCTACATGTATATATGTCATTATAAGGGCCCAGATATCTGTATCATAATATTTATATTGTATGGAAAGTACTAAACCATTTTAAGTAAAATGAAGGTGTGTTCCCATTTCGCCTTAACTGTGAAATTCACCTAAGAAAAAGTAAAAAAGTACTAAGGCGGAATGGGAATTTTAATATTTGTAAATATTATCACTGGGTTGATATAAAAATTTGAATGATAAAAATTTTTAGATTGCATTTAACTGTTAATGGGAATTCATGAATACATTGAATGAAATAATGCAGGTAACACCAAGTATCTTTTTAATAAATACTTTATGCTAAACATATTAAATCTTCATCACCTTAATTCACCTGAGAGCTTACTAGGGCGAAATGGGAATGCTAAATTTTACAGTTAAGGCGAGATGGGAACAAACCGAAATGAAATCCAACACATTTCAATGGTATTACTTTAAATTTGGTGTAGCCACTCTTTGCACTACATTATTTATCAGTCAAGACAGAAAAAGAACTAGATGTGTCATTAAACAGAAAAACGCACACTTACTGCTACCCCCTAAATCTTCTTTCCCTCATAGCCGGGTAATGGAGAAGCCATAGAAGGTTTTCTATAATAATATATGAATGTAAATATATAATTAAAGGTTTTATAAAATCAGTGGGTTTTTTATACAACTTGCATGAATATAACTTTTATATATAACGTTTTTTCTTCCCCAATCCCACCCCTATTATACCTACAGGACATCTCAAATCATCCCCCTTAAGATTATTTGGTTACTTTATAAAACTTAAGAAAAGGTTTCGGGATCA